TCGTCCACACAGATTTTTAGGTTAGTTTGATTATTAACTGGATTTATATTGTTTTTGTGTTTGAACAAACTATTTAAGGGTTGGGAGATAATCCGGTAGAAATATATCAATCGTTGATTGAAGCGCGTCATGGCGTAGTCTAAGCTTATCATTCAAACGCATTTTAAGCATGTTTTAAAACAAATGGTTTATACTGTTCATGGACATTACGCTGCGGGGCAGAATTCATTCTGGTAAATGCGTGCGTTAAAACGGGTTCTACCTGATACACCTGCTCGTATTACTGACTACACTTTTGCTCCTTGTGCTTAAACGGTCAAATACACATAGTTATGTCAAAATGCCTGTCTCTGCGAGTATCCTCGTAAACACAGTTATTTGTGTCTTAAATGAATGTTAATAGTTAAAGATAAAGCATGTGTTAGGCTATATGAGATCCTTAGCCTATATGATGAGATCTTAAAGGGGTCATATGATGCGATTTAAATTTTTCCTTTCTCTTTGGAGTGTTACAAGCTCCTGGTGCATAAAGAAGATCTGTAAAGTTGCAAAGACTAAAGTCTCAAATCCAAAGAGATATTCTTTATATATATATATATATATATATATATCATTATTGTGATGGGGGGCCCTGCAGTAAGTCATAGCCCCGGGGCCAAGTGCGGTCTTAATGCGGCCCTGCCGACAACACAGCACAACAACAGAGCCACTCCCGGTGATTCCGGAGGCCTCTATAGAATAAACATGACAGCTCCAGATGTCACTCTCAATCTCGGATGCGGCGACATATTCAGCAGTGCATGAATGCTCACTTTATAGAATGGAGCGATACGCTGGCAGGGCCCGCACCATGTGGCTGTGAAGTCCACCACTACCAACTTGTTCCCGGCATTTTTCAGAGCGTTGTCGAAGGCATTCTGCAGAGAGAGGGAGGAAAAGTTAATTCCGTTTCCAAACTGGCATGACACATTCTTTCCTGCTGAGGTTTACTGAAATGGACGATGAGTCACAATGGCATGGTTTAAGCAGGGTGATTAACTTTCAAATATTTACAAAAGAGCCATAATTACGGTACCAGGAAGCTTACGGAGAAATGGGTGCAGGTTTTGCTTTCTATATGAGATATAAGCCTACTGGAAAATACAGCTCATATCCTTTTCCTGAAATTACACTGAAGCAACACAAGCACTTACTACTTCATTGTAAATCAATATCTAATTGAACATTTTGATGGTGATGATACAAAAATGTGTACACGTATTTGTATTTTATTACAATCGTTTAAACTTCTTTACGACTTTGTAAGTGTCATCATAAATCAGTTTAATGCAAATCATATTTGAATTGCATGCATATTAATGTTTAATACTAAGATTTGGCATGTCTAGAACCAAAACACTCCAGAAGGACACTCCATAGGACAGAAGAAGCATCTCGTGTGAGTACTATCCTTCTATATC